GTGCCTTTGATCAGTAACTTATAGAATGTGTGTGTGATTTATTTACAGATATTGAATCAAGTCATGTGAAATAATCGTGGTAACCGTGATTATTTCTCACACTATAATCGTTTATAGTCATTGCAACCCTAGTGTGGGTCTCAGTGCACCTGCCTTGTTTGAGCAGCGGACCAAGATGGGCCTGAGGGTTGCAGGAGCTTAACAACGGTACCGTGTGTCAGCTGAAAGCTTTGGCTGGAAGTGTTTCCTCTTTTAAAGTTGTTCATAATGTTTGGATCAACCAGGTTAAAGAAAGTTTATAGGTGTCCTCAGGCCTGCCCTTCTCACATCTTAGAGAAGCTTATTTCATTAAAATAAGTGAAGCTAACCTGTTAAACAGTAATTTCCTAATACTGGTATTAATATGCGACATAACTGACTAGAAATCATTATTAAATCATCATGTAGAGTTATTTGGTGTGTTTAAGATCTGAAATAAGGGTTTTCAAGATTAAACCTTTAAGTTTCATTCATTACTGTCAAGCAGTCAAGCCATTGTTAAATCACTAACCTAACCCTAACGCACCTGTAAAGGTAGGAAGTCCTTGATGAGACCAAACAAGATTCTTTTATTAAAGGTGAAAGAGTCTCGTCTTCTGCAGGAGACCTGTGTCAGCAGATAACCAACAAAATGATGGTTATGATGGCGTCTCCAGATACATGGTAATGACCCGCACTTGTACAGCGCCTCTCAGAGTACGGACTCCAAAGTGCTTTACACTACAGTGTATCATTCATCCATTCACACACACACATTCACACGCTGGTGGGGATGAGCTACCATGTAGCCACAGCTGCCCTGGGGCGCACTGACAGAGGCGAGGCTGCCGAGCACTGGCGCCACCGGTCCCTCCAACCACCAGCAGCAGGCAAGGTGGGTTAAGTGTCTTGCCCAAGGACACAACAGCAGAATTCTCTGTCCGGAGCCGGGATCGAACCTGCAACCTTCTGATTACTGGACAACCCGCTCAACCTGTTGAGCTGCTGCTGTCCCTGATGGCCAGCTTAGGGACGTTTATGCAACATAAGTACAGCTTATAGCAGCAGAACATGGAGATGTGGGGCTTTTCTTTAGCTCTTTTACACTCAGCTGACATCCAACGTGACTCACTTTTAGCGTTTAGCGTGAATCCTGTGTTGGCCCGCTATGGTTTCAGAGTTCCTGGCCTGATTTATTGTCCCAGTCCACCCCTGAAGAGATGATCAAAATCTCCTCAGTGGCAACCCCGTCTGACCAGATTTCCTTAAGGCTCTGGATTTTGTAGGGTTGTGTTGTCCACGCGATACTGCAGAGCCATCGGGGCAGTTCCTCTGGACTGGCAGACTGGGGTACTGCGGGAGTATGAGGTACCAGAACCTCTGATAAGGGCTGTTAGGTCCCTGTATGACCGGTGTCAGAGCTTGGTCCGCAGTGCCGGCAGTAAGTCGGGCTCGTTCCCAGTGAGAGTTGGACTCCGCCAAGGCTGCCCTTTGTCACCGATTCTGTTCATAACCTTTATGGACAGGATTTCTAGGTGCAGCCAAGGTGTGGAGGGCATCCGTTTTGGTGGCCTGAGGATCAGGTCTCTGCTTTTTGCAGATGATGTGGTCCTGTTGGCTTCATCAGAACGTGATCTTCAGCTTTCGCTGGAGCGGTTCGCAGCCGAGTGTGAAGCAGCTGGGATGAGAACCAGCTCCTCTAAATCTGAGACCATGGTCTTGATTCGGAAAAGGGTAGAACCCCTTCTCCACGCTCGATAGACGGATCGGTGCTGCGTCTGCAGTGATGCGGGCGTTGTACCGGTCTGTCGTGGTGAAGAGAGAGCTGAGTCAGAAGGCGAAGCTCTCGATTTACCGCTCGATCTACGTTCCTACCCTCAACCCTTAGAGACAGGGTGAGAAGCTCGGTCAGGTGACTCGGGCATCTGGTCAGGATGCCTCCCTGGTGAGGTTTTTTGGGTTAGGGTGAGGAAGAGCGTAGGAGTGCTGCCGCTTCAGGTTCTCACAGCGGTTTGGAGCTTAAAGCTCCTGAAACAGAACAAAATCAGCTCTAAACAGGTTTCTGTCAGATGTACCTTTATAGGTTGTTCATGAGGCTGGGCGTGTTTGCTGTTTGGCAGTCGGGCGTAAACGCCGCAGTAGTAACATAAGTACTATCTGTGGTTAGACATGGTCACCAGTGTGCTGCAGCCTTACTGGTTTGAAACAAGCCCCAGTGAATGGATGTGGGCACCAGCAGATGCTGCAGTAGGAAGACGTGATGATGATTTCATAACACTTCTGCTGCATTAAAGAGTCAGACCAAGCAGGTAGCTGAGCTAAAGCTGCACGTATGGCCCGTAACCTTCAGGGTTATGATGCTGTTTCCTGTTCTGAGAGTGAATTAGTCTCATAGTCACCATTACCAATAAATGATGGTCCCTGATCATTTTACATCATCCTCTCACAATACTCTCATCTCTCTGACCTCGTGATGAGTTTATAAAAGGTCACAGCAGGTCACCACAGACCGGGGGGGGGGGGGGGGGGGGGTAGTCGTCACCCTTTTCACACCCTCTGAGTTTGCAGGTATGCATTAAGCAGTGTTGGGCAAGTTACTTCAAAACTGTAATGCATTATTTATTACTTGTTACCCTCATTTTAAAGTAATTCATTACATTACAATATTACTGATTTTAAATTGTAAGGCATTACACTACTTTTGCATTACTTTAAGTTACTTTCACCAAAACAACTTCAGTATGAATCTGGTCATGTGACGCTCAGTGAGCTCATGACATATATGTGGAAGGTGATGTGGTGTCTGAGCTAGGGTTGCTGTTAAAACAGTCAGATATAATAACAGTGCTTTAAAATGATTGTTTACTAAATAAAAACAACAACAATCTGTACTCTCAGCACGCTGCCATCTGTAACGTGTAAGTTTTCAGTTCATGATTCGGTTCGGTGTTTGACAACCAAAGAGGGAGGACTTGTGAACAACGCCAACGGGGAACGGGGCTGCGGCTCCTTTCTCCCCCCCCTCTCGCTGTTCCTGCCAAGCCAGACAGGATAGCTGAATTACAACCGCTAACGCAGACTCGTCCCGAGTCTTTTGATTTCTGAGTAATTAAACTTAAGAAAGCGCATCTGCAAACGCTTCATCATCACGTGTACCGAGGGCATCTCTGGACCGGATCGCCGCACACCTTCGTCTCCTCATCCAGCCGAGGTGCCCTGGATGAAACATCGTCCTTTGACGTTCCGGATCTGAACGAGGGTCCTCGTACGGTGAGGCAGAACACAATAGATAGCGTTTGATGCATCTTTTCCAACGAAACCTAAGTTTATTCAATCCATCACTTTTCACTCAGACACCTGTTTCTTCCTGAAGCAAAATCAGACGCACACACGCATTCATCTCACCTCATTTTCAATTCTCACACATCCAACACAAGGTCTATTTGAGCAAGTTTACAATATCAACTGTTAAAGATTGTCCAACAAGGTTGCCAATGTTGATTGTTGTTTCCTCTGCTCGTCATTTCAAAATCATTAGTTTAGTTTGGAGAATTAAATCTTTTAACTTTCAAACTTGTCTCTTCATTGAACTGAAACACAGATCCACGGATATTATCGACAGTTTATCGATGAAAACAACCTTTGAGTCTTCTTAAAACTATAAAATTTAGTTATTAATTTATTAAAAATTAATATATCAAATTAATATGTAGAATGGTTCCTCTTTCATAAAAGAGCCTAAACCATTACTCTACATAATTGGCAGAGCCTAGCCAGGTTCTCTACACATCTTATATTAACTGAGCAGGGAGTGAGGTGGTGGTGGCTCCAAGCCTATATTTGCCTTGGTCCCCAAATGCCTTGATACGGCCCTGGATGTGGGACTGACTTCTGGGGTGATCTGATTCTATCACATGTATAAATATTAAATGCTTATATATTATTGCTTTTCACTGGTAAACATGTGTATTGGGGATAAATCTACCTACTTTTTTCTTTTTTTTCTTGATTTTATGTGAATAATTTCCGGCCCTTTCTCTCTCGAATCTTCCTGCATGCTGCATGTTTTCTCCGTCTTCCAGAAAAAACTGTTTCCTAGATTTCCTACTTTCTAACCATCAGCCAAAGGGATCTTCACATGCGCGGCGCTCCAGCAGTAATGAGTTGAAATCACCGGGGCACAGATTATGAACTCAGCTGAGGCAAAGCACGTCAGAAAAGCACAAAATACCAGAGAATATGTGCTGATATGAACGATCGCAAGTGAATTATTTTGTTTTAGTGCAGCGATTTTGTGAATGTTACAGCGGCCGCGTGCAGGAGCAGCTGGAGTAGCTGAGCCGTTACCGCGGCATCCTCTCTGCCCGCAAAGCTGAGTCCACAAATGACGTAATATAAGCAGATACTGGATCTTTCTTCGGGTTTCCCGCAATTTGAATTTTTAAGGAACACATCTTGATTCTGGGTTTATAAATGCATTGTAATTACTGCGTTACTGACAATTGTACCGAGTAAATATTACCATTTTCTTTCCCTGTAATGCCTTACATTACCTCATTACAGCAAAAAGCAATGCATTACAGTAATTAATTACTTTTTTACTGCATTACTCCCAACACTGGCATTAAGGTGTGTGACACTTAATAAATGATCACATGGCCTCCTCCTATGTTACACTTGACACAATGGGTAAGAGAGGAAGAGCAGAGGCCCCAGCACAGAACCTTGTGGGACACCATGGGTAAGAGAGGTGGTGGAGGACCTAAACTCTGAGACGGCCACAGAAAAGGAGCGCTCAGAGAGATAAGAGGAGAACCACTCCAGAGCAGATCCTGATAGGCCTACCCAGTCTCTCAGCTTCTCCAGTAGCAGGTGATGTTCAACAGTGTCAAAGGCTGCATTCCGTCCTGGGGACACCTGAGCAGTGGTTTACCTGCTCCAGGTAGAGGTCGTGATCAGCACTTGTCTTTTGTGTCCATCAGGGGGTCGTTCCTGACAAAGAAACAGGACCAGGCTGCCAGGAAGATCATGAGGTTCCTGAGGCGCTGCAGACACCGGTAAGACCCTGTCCTGAGGACACGTCTTGTCTCCTGGTCCCAAGTCACACGTTGCCTCCTTCTGCAGGATTAAAGAGTTGAAACAGACAAAAGAGCTGGAGAGGAGAGGACTCACCACGTAGAGGTCTCCTGGAGGACAAATGGAACCAGAGGCACGATGGACAGGGACGCCTTACCCCCCCCCCCCATGTGTCCTGTCCAGGCTGAATGTAGCTGTCTCCAGCTCGGAGCTCCGCCCCCATCGAGTCCCAAAGGAGTTTCTCTGGACTTAATTATATAAACAATCGTATGAAAACACATATATATTCTATATTCTGAGTTTCCTAGATGTTCTATTTATTACAGCATGAGCCGTGTGTGTGTGTGTGTGTGTGTGTGTGTGTGTGAGAGAGAGAGAGAAAGTATTGGCATTTTCACATCTGGTCCAACCCGGTCCTGGTAGCATCAGCCCTCCCCGCGTGGCCAGGTTGTGGTCACGGATCATGTGGGCGGGGCTACAGGTGTGCGGTGAGGTGGTAGACGAAGGCGGTTGAGAAGTGGCTCTGACATGAAGCACACTGCAGACGCCTCAGTGAGAGTACCAGACCCCCCACGGCTGCCCCGGTCCTCGGCTCCAGGCCCTAACCCCAATTTAAAACCCAAACCATAAAACAGATTTTCAGCACTGATGATCAGAGGAAGCACCTTCCAGAGCCTAGGGGCCGCTACAGAGGAGCCCCGTCACCTCTGAGCTAACGTCTCGCTCTAGCAGCATCCCATCAGCCCACCCCAGAGGGCAGGGGGGTGGAGAACCAGTAGCTCAGAGAGGTCATCTGGAGCTGGGGTGAGCTGACCACGGTCAACCTCAGCGTCCTCCGACCAAACACCACAGCCTGTCTTTGTCAAGTCGGAGAACATCCATCAGCTAACCCCGACAAGACCATCCGAGAGGCTGCTCCCTCTCTAGGTAGGCAGCAGAAGCTCCAGGGACCAGAAGGTTGTAGGTTCAACACTGCTGCTGTGTCCTTAAGCTAGACACTTAGCCCGCCTTACCTGTTGGTGGTGGTCGGAGGGCCCGGTGGTGCCCGTGCTCGACCAGCGTGTGAATAACTGTTGTAAAGCACCTTGGGGGGTTGTAGAACCCAAGAAGGTGCCGTACAGACACATTAACCATAGGTTAGCTTCAGCGGGTGTGTTGGGTCGGCTCCAGGGCCGGGCCGGATGTGAATGAGACACCAGTGTGTGTGTGTGTGTGTGTGTGTGTGTGCGCTGCACTGACTGAAGTCTTACCCCCTCACCGCTCTGGTTTTGTTCTGAGTCTCGTCTGCTTTAGACTAAAGATGCTACGTCTCCATGGTGACCATAGCACTTTCTGCCGGTCTTGTTTCCGTGGCGATGGCAGCTTCTGGTCCCCCAACATGATCTTCTATCTCCATGACGACTGCTGTGGTCCTCGGGTTTGCTCAGTGACGTTTTTGCACGACTTTGTATTTGATTGTTCTGCATCTGTATGAATAAAGAGCTGTTTACGACCCGTCTCCATGGTGATGATGAAACTAACCCGCATCTCCACTAGTGTCCCAACGTTTCATCAGATTTAAGATGGTCCTTCAGTAGAAACCCACTGGAGGTTCCTGGTTCCACAGGTGGGTTCTAGATGGTTCCTTCTGTTCAGTTTATTTACAAAGCACCCAAGCACAGACCTTCACTAGGTCTAACCCCGCCTAGCCCCAACAGGTTCATGGAACACTGAAGATGCTCCACATCAGCACCAGAGCACATCACTGGTCTGGTTCTCCTGCTGTCATCTAATCAACTCTGTGGAGAGAACATTAGATTGTGTCTGAAATCAGCTGATGTGGGAACAGCTTCAGGTGTCCTCCTCGTCCTGAGAAGCTTCAGCACCAGATGTTCTTCTCTGCTGGAACCAGAAGATCAGAAGCTGCTCTATAAGAACCCCAGGAGCCTCCACTGCTGCTCAGATGCTTTTATTAAAAAACCAAGACTCAGATGGTCACTGATGCTGCTTCTGACACACACACACACACACACACACACACACACCAGAACATTAACCGACAACAATCTAGAATAAAAAAGTAAAAAAGAATCTGGTCCAGGTTCTTCAGAAGAAGTCCAGGTCATCTGGAGCATCCAGGTCTCTGTATTCGATGATGGAGCGAGGGTCTCCCCGCATGCCCCTACACACACACACACACACACACACACACACACACACATTAGGCCCGTCCTTCACAACCAACACATGTTTGTCCTGTTTCACTACCTGCTGCTTCTTGGTTTCCCAGAAATGGCCCCGCCCCCCCTGAAGTTGTCATAGTTACCACGGCCCGCCCCAAACTGGTGGCCAGGTGGCAGGTGAGGACCCACACCTGAAACACACACAGGTGACCTTTGACCTGCTGAGAACCCTGACCCAGAAAGAAAAGGGAGGAGCGTACCTGGGAAGCCCGGCATGGGAGGTCTGAGTCCTGGTGGATACCCCAGAAGGTTTTGCTGCTGTGGCGACTGAACAGGAAATGCGGCCAAACCAGGAGGCGGGGCTAAAACACAAGTGTGAGACACTAGTGACAACAAAGCCAACGTGATAAGACTCATGTTGGCACATCGGCGTAAAACTGCCCCCATGATGCGTCTCATGAGCGTGCCGTGGCGATGCGTGGAGACTGTCCGGCACACACCGGACAGAGCGGGGTGTCGTGATCACGCGTGGACTTGCCGTCAAGCTCCAGCCGGTAACCATTTTAAAAATGAACGTAAACACGGTAAAGCTTCACTTTAGTAAACAGAACCAGCTGAGATGATAAACTGGAGCGATGCTGAGCTTCTCCCTGTTAGAGCTGAAGCTCAGATCACCTGACCGGTCCGAGACTGGAGGACCGACACCTTTAGGAGCACCTCGTTAGAACGCTTAACCTTCACGGCTTTGATGGCAATAAAACGCAAGCCATGTCCAAGATAAACGGAAGTCCGCAGCAGAGCCGAGACCGCCCCATACCTCCTTGTTAAAGGGACATGATTGAACCTCATTACCACCACGACCCAAGGCTCCCCGCTGCCGCCACGGCGTCTGCAGCATCGTTTTATACAAAACCATCCCAACATGTAGCTTAGTGAGGACTTCCTGGTTTAGGCTCCTCATTCATGTGTTCATCGCAGTCGCTTATTTAACTACATTTACCATCTCTGACAGACATTACCTTGTGCTGGTGGTGGGAGGGGCTTGTTCTCAGGTAGACAGGGCCTTTTAGCGTCCCACAGGAAGTTGTTAAAGAACTCCACTTCCTGACGAACTGCGGTGACCTTATCAGCGTGTTTGTTCAAGATGTGTTTACGCACAAACTCTGGAGCCTGAATGACAACAACACTTCCATCAAAATGTTACCATGGTAACCAGGTGAGGTGGGGGTCAGAGGTAGGCCTCACCTTGAACTTCTTCCCACTCAGAGGACAGAGCCACTTGTCCTTACTGAGCTCTTGTGTGTTAGCAGACAGGAACTTCTCAACCTGGAGCAAAAACACAGGTGTGATAACAGGTGTAGCAAGCACTAGCTCTAATGCATGCCTGCTAGCATGCACTAGCTCTAATGCATGGCTGTTAGCAAGCACTAGCTCTAATGCATGCCTGCTAGCATGCACTAGCTCTAATGCATGCCTGCTAGCATGCACTAGCTCTAATGCATGCCTGCTAGCATGCACTAGCTCTAATGCATGGCTGTTAGCAAGCACTAGCTCTAATGCATGCCTGCTAGCATGCACTAGCTCTAATGCATGGCTGCTAACATGTGCTAGCTCTAATGCATGGCTGCTAGCAAGCACTAGCTCTACTGCATGGCTGCTAACATGTGCTAGCTCTAATGCATGGCTGCTAGCAAGCACTAGCTCTAATGCATGGCTGCTAGCAAGCACTAGCTCTAATGCATGGCTGCTAACATGTGCTAGCTCTAATGCATGGCTGCTAGCAAGCACTAGCTCTAATGCATGGCTGCTAGCATGCACTAGCTCTAATGCATGGCTGCTAGCATGCACTAGCTCTAATGCATGGTTGCTAACATGTGCTAGCTCTAATGCATGGCTGTTAAAAAGCACTAGCTCTAATGCATGCCTGCTAGCATGCACTAGCTCTAATGCATGGCTGTTAGGAAGCACTAGCTCTAATGCATGCCTGCTAGCATGCACTAGCTCTAATGCATGGCTGTTAGCAAGCACTAGCTCTAATGCATGCCTGCTAGCATGCACTAGCTCTAATGCATGGCTGTTAGCATGCACTAGCTCTAATGCATGCCTGCTAGCATGCACTAGCTCTAATGCATGCCTGCTAGCATGCACTAGCTCTAATGCATGGCTGTTAGCAAGCACTAGCTCTAATGCATGCCTGCTAGCATGCACTAGCTCTAATGCATGTTAGCAAGCACTAGCTCTAATGCATGGCTACTAGCATGCACTGGCTCGAATGCATGGCTGCTAACATGCGCTAGCTCTAATGCATGGCTGCTAGCAAGCACTAGCTCTAATGCATGGCTGCTAGCATGCGCTGGCTCTAATGCATGGCTGCTAGCAAGCACTAGCTCTAATGCATGGCTGCTAGCATGCACTAGCTCTAATGCATGTTAGCAAGCACTAGCTCTAATGCATGGCTACTAGCATGCACTGGCTCGAATGCATGGCTGCTAACATGCGCTAGCTCTAATGCATGGCTGCTAGCAAGCGCTAGCTCTAATGCATGGCTGCTAGCATGCGCTGGCTCTAATGCATGGCTGCTAGCAAGCACTAGCTCTAATGCATGGCTGCTAACATGCGCTAGACCTAATGCATGGCTGCTAGCAAGCACTAGCTCTAATGCATGGCTGCTAGCATGCACTAGCTCTAATGCATGGCTGCTAGCAAGCACTAGCTCTAATGCATGGCTACTAGCATAAACTGGCTCTAATGCATGGCTGCTAGCAAGCACTAGCTCTAAGCCATGGCTGCTAAAATGTGCTAGCTCTAATGCATGGCTGCTAGCAAGCACTAGCTCTAATGCATGGCTGCTAGCATGCACTGGCTCTAATGCATGGCTACTAGCAAGCACTAGCTCTAATGCATGCCTGCTAGCATGCACTAGCTCTAATGCATGCCTGCTAGCATGCACTAGCTCTAATGCATGGCTGCTAGCAAGCACTAGCTCTAATGCATGGCTGCTAACATGTGCTAGCTCTAATGCATGGCTGCTAGCAAGCACTAGCTCAAATGCATGGCTGCTAACATGTGCTAGCTCTAATGCATGGCTGCTAGCAAGCACTAGCTCTAATGCATGGCTGCTAACATGTGCTAGCTCTAATGCATGGCTGCTAGCAAGCACTAGCTCTAATGCATGGCTGTTAGCATGCACTAGCTCTAATGCATGGCTGCTAGCATGCACTAGCTCTAATGCATGGTTGCTAACATGTGCTAGCTCTAATGCATGGCTGTTAGCAAGCACTAGCTCTAATGCATGGCTGCTAACATGTGCTAGCTCTAATGCATGGCTGCTAGCAAGCACTAGCTCTAATGCATGGCTGTTAGCAAGCACTAGCTCTAATGCATGCCTGCTAGCATGCACTAGCTCTAATGCATGGCTGCTAGCATGCACTAGCTCTAATGCATGGCTGCTAACATGTGCTAGCTCTAATGCATGGCTGCTAGCAAGCACTAGCTCTAATGCATGGCTGTTAGCATGTGCTAGCTCTAATGCATGGCTGTTAGCAAGCACTAGCTCTAATGCATGGCTGCTAGCATGCACTAGCTCTAATGCATGGTTGCTAACATGTGCTAGCTCTAATGCATGGCTGTTAGCAAGCACTAGCTCTAATGCATGGCTGCTAACATGTGCTAGCTCTAATGCATGGCTGCTAGCAAGCACTAGCTCTAATGCATGGCTGTTAGCAAGCACTAGCTCTAATGCATGCCTGCTAGCATGCACTAGCTCTAATGCATGGCTGCTAGCATGCACTAGCTCTAATGCATGGTTGCTAACATGTGCTAGCTCTAATGCATGGCTGCTAGCAAGCACTAGCTCTAATGCATGGCTGTTAGCAAGCACTAGCTCTAATGCATGCCTGCTAGCATGCACTAGCTCTAATGCATGGCTGCTAGCATGCACTAGCTCTAATGCATGGTTGCTAACATGTGCTAGCTCTAATGCATGGCTGTTAGCATGCACTAGCTCTAATGCATGGCTGCTAGCATGCACTAGCTCTAATGCATGGTTGCTAACATGTGCTAGCTCTAATGCATGGCTGCTAGCAAGCACTAGCTCTAATGCATGGCTGTTAGCAAGCACTAGCTCTAATGCATGCCTGCTAGCATGCACTAGCTCTAATGCATGGCTGCTAGCATGCACTAGCTCTAATGCATGGTTGCTAACATGTGCTAGCTCTAATGCATGGCTGCTAGCAAGCACTAGCTCTAATGCATGGCTGTTAGCAAGCACTAGCTCTAATGCATGCCTGCTAGCATGCACTAGCTCTAATGCATGGCTGCTAGCATGCACTAGCTCTAATGCATGGTTGCTAACATGTGCTAGCTCTAATGCATGGCTGTTAGCATGCACTAGCTCTAATGCATGGCTGCTAGCATGCACTAGCTCTAATGCATGGTTGCTAACATGTGCTAGCTCTAATGCATGGCTGTTAGCAAGCACTAGCTCTAATGCATGGCTGCTAACATGTGCTAGCTCTAATGCAGAGGTGGAAAGTAAGAAATTACATTTACTCACGTTACTGTAATTGAGTAGCCTTTTTGTAAATTTATACTTTTTAAGTCGTTTTTAAAAGCTGTACTTTTACTTTTACTTGAGTAAGTTTTTAAAAAAAGAATTGTAATTCGCTACATTTTAATTATTTTAACCACAATTGAAACTTACCATCCTAGAAAAACCTCGTCCAATCAATGTGCACGTCCTGTTCTCACTGATTGGATAGAAATCCCTCCTTCAAGCTGAGCGTGTGTGTATGTGTGTGCGCGCACAGGGTTAGGGTTAGGGTCAGTGCATGCATTGAGTAAAAAATTATCAAAGTATTGGTACTCGTACTTAACTAGGAAATTTTAGTAGTCTTTCCACCTCTGCTCTACAGGCAGATGCAGACAAACAGGTAGACAGGTGTACAGACAGACGGTACCTCTTGTTCCAGGTCTTTCTTTCCAAGCCGGACAGCTTCTTCTTCACTGAGTTTCTCAGACGGTGAAAGAAGAGGAGCCAGCCGCTCTTCACACATCCTTAGGTGTTCTGCCACTGTCCAATCAGAGCACAGCGTTACCTGTTGATGTCAGTTACATCCTAACCAGCTACCAGGAGACCCTGGCTGAACAGGAAGATCCTCGAACCCTGTCTAAGACTAGGCTCCTCTCCTGTGGAACCAGCTCCCAGCTTTAGTCCGTGAGGCAGACACCTTGTCTACTTTTAAGAATAGGCTTAAAACATTTTTATTTGATAGGGCCTATGGTTAAAATCTGATGTTAGCCTAGATCTGGACAAGTGGGGGAGTAGAGGGAGGTGGAGTGTACAGTCGGTAAAGACGGCTCTCCCTTGCCCTGCCTCCAACATGCCTCCATCTAAATAGGATAGATTATCCAGAGTTATCTCTGTAGTTATGCTGCTATAGGCTTAGGCCTGATTTATGCTTCTGCGTCTGCGTCAGTGCGGAGCACACGCAACGCCATTATCTGTCCTTGCGTAGGGATCCGGCAGGCACGCAAGTACGTACGGAGTCGAGCCCACTTTTTTAAACATCCGTCGAACCAGGGCCCGAAATTAAATTCTTTACTCACCGGCCAAGTTGGCTGGTAGATGATGAAAATCTACCGGCCAAAATCCTAAATGATTTAGATCCACCTAAAGCATGTAATTCTATATTATGTTGGTTCCAAACAGAGTGACAAAATAATTAAAACATCAATTAATAAGGAAAACAACTCTTTTGTCATTTGTACTATTTATTTATTTATTTTTAGAGATGTTTTTATGAACTCTTTCATTGAAATCTAGTCAGACTCCTTGTTTTCTGTCCATGAAGTCTGGCCTCCTGCTTCTGACACCGTCTTTGTGCCAAAGCATTACAGCCTCATTTGGGTCCTAGTCCTTGATCTCTGGAGAACACAGCTGCACCATGAGAACATCTCTAGGGTTGTCACGGTAACCGGTGTAGCAGTAAACCCCGGTAAAAAAGCTGACAATAATAATAAACGTCTTGTTTTTAAAAATATGTATATTATCTCGGTGGATTACCGTGGCTGCGGTGTAGGCGTGGTGACCCTTACCAGCCACCGTATCATCTGCTGAAGTTGCCGGCGGCACATGCGCACTTTGTTGTTTACAACCAAAACTTTCTTGAAGCTAAAGCTGAAATAATGGCCAGAGGAGGAGACGGCAGCACTCGGGACATTTATTATCCCTCAAAGAAGACAAAGTCGGAAGTACGGGCATCTTTTGGATATTTGAAGAATGCCGAGGGACAGCTGTCTGTGAAAGGCAGCAACACTACGTGGCCATCATAATGTAGCCATTGTCTCACGACTCCGCCATCTCCGTTAGATGCGGCGCTCACGTTTCGCGTACGTTTGTGTACGTTGCATGCAGGCGGGAGGAGTATCAGACATCCGTGGAAGATGACTGATAAACATAACTCATTTGGTGCAAACATTTACTCGCCAGGTGGCAGGTAGAGCTCAAACATTTACTCGCCAGGTGGCAGGTAGAGCTCAAACATTTACTCGCCAAATGGAGCAATTTGCTCACATTTGGCGAGTGGCGAGTGTTAATTTCGGACCATGCGTTGAACGAAACGGATGACGCAAGCTTGTGATTGGTCAGGACGCTGCTGTTGTTTACAGCGCCGCCATTGCAAAGAGAGCCGAGGATAACTAGCGGCAGACACGGAGCAGCTTGAAGAATACCTAATGAAAAAACTAAAAATATGAATGTTTCATCCTCGCGTGACTGGAGGAGTGAAAAGATGCGCAGCAAGCGTTTTATTTGTGGACGGAAATGACAGGAAACGTGGGTTTAGAGGTGGGGAGCGCATGAAGCGGTGGGAGAATGAGAGACAAATATGTCCGTGTTAAAATCTCTTATATACACAAAACACAATATAAACACACGATCTTGGACCGATACATGACAGGATACCACAGAACAGCGCTACGCCCTCTGTTGTCCTGGCGGGGAATTGCTTTGCAACACTCTCCAGGAGACGGAGAAGTATGAGAGCAAAACGCTTCCGTCAATCCGTGCGTGTCTGTCCCTTGCAGAGCTGACGGAGAAGCATGAACCAGGCTTAGACTGCTGGAGGACACACTGACCACTTTCCACACTCTACTGCTTTCTTCTACAGTCTGCTCTTTAACTGTATTATTTCCTGCTATTTCAGCTGTTAACTTTATTTTCTCTCTAAGTGTTTTTCTCCCCAGAAGAAGCTACAACGATGTTCTGCTGAGCTGTGGTGGCCTCATGGAGGGGGCCATCGACTAGCACACTGCTGCTAACCACTAAAACATTCTCCCTCTCCTGATAATAACTTTTTGCTTTCCTTGACGTTGGATGTGCTACTACTAGTTTACCCGTTTAATTATAGATCCACTAGAATAAATACAATAAAGTTTATCTCTCACCAAATAGAATATTTACTAAGACATCACAATATAACTATAGACACATTATTGTGTGTGTGTGTGTGTGTGTGTGTGTGTGTGTGTGTGTGTGTGTGTGTGTGTGTGTGTGTGTGTGTGTGTGTGTGTGTGTGTGTGTGTGTGTGTGTGTGTGTGTGTGTGTGTGTGTGTGTGTCTTCTCCATCCCCAGTGAGTCGTGGAGGATGGCTGCTTATACTGAGCCAGGATTCTCTGGAGGTTTCTTCCTGTTAAAAGGGAGTTTTCCTCTCCACTGTCGCTGCATGCTTGCTTAGTATGAGGATTGCTGTATAGTCACTGACACTAGTCAGTGACTTGATGCAATTTGCTGGGTTCCTTATATAGGAAACATTATTTCTGATTGGCTTAATGACCTGACCTGGATTGGAATGTTTATTATGTGAAGTGCCTTGAGACGACTCTGGTCGTGATTTGGCGCTTTAGAAATAAACTAGAATTGAATTGAATTGGTTCCTTTACATAGGCTACGGCTACGAGACCCCTCCCCCACATACAGACAGATGCAGAGAAGGGAAGAGCTCCACACGCAACTCCAGCAGGTAGACCTACTGCTGCAGCTGGACCTACTCCAGCAGGTAGACCTACTCCAGCAGCTGGACCTACTCCAGCAGGTAGACCTACTGCTGCAGCTGGACCTACTCCAGCAGGTAGACCTACTGCTGCAGCTGGAACTACTCCAGCAGGTAGACCTACTGCTGCAGCTGGACCTACTCCAGCAGGTAGACCTACTGCTGCAGCTGGAACTACTCCAGCAGGTAGACCTACTGCTGCAGCTGGACCTACTCCAGCAGGTAGACCTACTGCTGCAGCTGGACCTACTCCAGCAGGTAGACCTACTCCAGCAGGTAGACCTACTCCAGCAGGTAGACCTACTCCAGCAGCTGGACCTACTCCAGCAGGTAGACCTACTGCTGCAGCTGGACCTACTCCAGCAGGTAGACCTACTGCTGCAGCTGGAACTACTCCAGCAGGTAGACCTACTGCTGCAGCTGGACCTACTCCAGCAGGTAGACCTACTGCTGCAGCTGGAACTACTCCAGCAGGTAGACCTACTGCTGCAGCTGGACCTACTCCAGCAGGTAGACCTACTGCTGCAGCTGGACCTACTCCAGCAGGTAGACCTACTCCAGCAGGTAGACCTACTCCAGCAGGTAGACCTACTCCAGCAGCTGGACCTACTCCAGCAGGTAGACCTACTGCTGCAGCTGGACCTACTCCAGCAGGTAGACCTACTGCTGCAGCTGGAACTACTCCAGCAGGTAGACCTACTGCTGCAGCTGGACCTACTCCAGCAGGTAGACCTACTCCAGCAGGTAGACCTACTCCAGCAGGTAGACCTACTCCAGCAGCTGGACCTACTCCAGCAGGTAGACCTACTGCTGCAGCTGGACCTACTCCAGCAGGTAGACCTACTGCTGCAGCTGGAACTACTCCAGCAGGTAGACCTACTGCTGCAGCTGGACCTACTCCAGCAGGTAGACCTACTGCTGCAGCTGGAACTACTCCAGCAGGTAGACCTACTGCTGCAGCTGGACCTACTCCAGCAGGTAGACCTACTGCTGCAGCTGGACCTACTCCAGCAGGTAGACCTACTCCAGCAGCTGGACCTACTCCAGCAGGTAGACCTACTGCTGCAGCTGGACCTACTCCAGCAGGTAGACCTACTGCTGCAGCTGGAACTACTCCAGCAGGTAGACCTACTGCTGCAGCTGGACCTACTCCAGCAGGTAGACCTACTCCAGCAGCTGGACCTACTCCAGCAGGTAGACCTACTGCTGCAGCTGGACCTACTCCAGCAGGTAGACCTACTGCTGCAGCTGGAACTACTCCAGCAGGTAGACCTACTGCTGCAGCTGGACCTACTCCAGCAGGTAGACCTACTGCTGCAGCTGGAACTACTCCAGCAGGTAGACCTACTGCTGCAGCTGGACCTACTCCAGCAGGTAGACCTACTGCTGCAGCTGGACCTACTCCAGCAGGTAGACCTACTCCAGCAGGTAGACCTACTCCAGCAGGTAGACCTACTCCAGCAGCTGGACCTACTCCAGCAGGTAGACCTACTGCTGCAGCTGGACCTACTCCAGCAGGTAGACCTACTGCTGCAGCTGGAACTACTCCAGCAGGTAGACCTACTGCTGCAGCTGGACCTACTCCAGCAGGTAGACCTACTCCAGCAGGTAGACCTACTCCAGCAGGTAGACCTACTCCAGCAGCTGGACCTACTCCAGCAGGTAGACCTACTGCTGCAGCTGGACCTACTCCAGCAGGTAGACCTACTGCTGCAGCTGGAACTACTCCAGCAGGTAGACCTACTGCTGCAGCTGGACCTACTCCAGCAGGTAGACCTACTGCTGCAGCTGGAACTACTCCAGCAGGTAGACCTACTGCTGCAGCTGGACCTACTCCAGCAGGTAGACCTACTCCAGCAGGTAGACCTACTGCTGCAGCTGGACCTACTCCAGCAGGTAGACCTACTCCAGCAGGTAGACCTACTGCTGCAGCTGGACCTACTCCAGCAGGTAGACCTACTGCTGCAGCTGGACCTACTCCAGCAGGTAGACCTACTGATGCAGCTGGACCTACTCCAGCAGGTAACATATTGCTGCAGCTGGACCTACTCCAACAGGTAACATATTGCTGCAGCTGGACCTACTCCAACAGGTAGACCTACTGCTCCAGTTAGGCCTACTCCAGCATGTAGACCTACTGCTGCAGCTAGACCTACTCCAGCAGGTAGACCTAATGCTGCAGTTAAACCTACTCCAGCATGTAGACCTACTGCTGCAGTTAGGCCTACTCCAACAGGTAGACCTACTGATGCAGCTGGACCTACTCCAGCAGGTAACATATTGCTGCAGCTGGACCTACTCCAACAGGTAACATATTGCTGCAGTTAAACCTACTCCAACAGGTAGACCTACTGCTCCAGTTAGGCCTACTCCAGCATGTAGACCTACTGCTGCAGCTAGACCTACTCCAGCAGGTAGACCTAATGCTGCAGTTAAACCTACTCCAGCATGTAGACCTACTGCTGCAGTTAGGCCTACTCCAACAGGTAGACCTACTGCTGCAGCTAGGCCTACTCCAGCAGGTAGACCTACTGTTGCAGCTGGAACTACTCCAGCAGGTAGACCTACTGCTGCAGCTGGAACTACTCCAGCAGGTAGACCTACTGCTGCAGCTGGACCTACTCCAGCAGGTAGACCTACTGCTGCAGCTGGAACTACTCCAGCAGGTAGACCTACTGCTGCAGTTAAACCTACTCCAGCATGTAGACCTACTGCTGCAGTTAGGCCTACTCCAACAGGTAGACCTACTGCTGCTACTAAACCAACCCCATCAGATGGGCCTACTCCTGCAGCTAGTTCTCCATCAGATGGACCTACTGTTTTATGTAAATGTGTTCTACTGCAAGTAGGAGCGATGGAGCACCCACTAGTGACCGTGATCCTGATCCTAACAGGTGTGGGAGGAGAGCAGGTGGACTGTCATGTGTCAGTGCTGGTGCGCACCCTCTGCTGGCGTGATCTTGGCCACAGGTAGAGGTCCTCGTACGTGGATGAGCCCACAGCGGTGAGGCATCTCGTCCTCAGCAGGATATTCACAGAAGTTGTAATAATCTACAGAATGAACCAGACGCAGGTACAGCAGCAGCCTGTCCAGCACCTGGGCACACATAAAGGTGTTCAATTGTCTCATACGCAGGTACACCTCTCACAGCCCAAAATACACTCCACACACCTTCACCAGCATCTCATCTGTCTCCACGGCAACCTCAGAGGAGGTGTGGTTTTTAGGGTCTCCTGTGTCATCACTGTTGCCCCCGGAAGCCCCGATAAGCTCCTCCTCCTCAGCACTCACCTCCTCTATCAGGTAGTCAGTGATGTTCTTCAGGACAGGGTTGGTTTCCATCTACACACACACACACACACACACACACACACACACACGAGGTGAGGAGGACATGACTGCATGTTTAGCTACGAAGCGTCTGTAGTCTGTCGCGGTCCCCCCCACAGGAAGGCGGTTCTCTACCTGGCCGCTCCACAGCCCCCCCCTCTGGTCCAAACTATGGACGAGCCGAGCCGACAGACGGATGTCGTTCCTCACCACGGGCTTGTGATGGGTCAGCCCGTTAACGCTGCGAACACGCCGACACAGGTCCCTGTTGACCACGGGGGACAGCTCAATGTCTCTGAGCTGAAAGGACAAGACGGCACGGGAGTTACTGGTCCGCTGGTCCCATCGGTTCTGGTGGAGTGGGGGTGCTTACCCTGATGTTCTGAAGGTTCCAGCAGGTCTCTTTGATGTTGATGCTACGGTCAAAGGTCACCCAGCAGCGCCTGAAGAACCTGAAACAGCATGACAGGGTTCAGGTGAGCACACCTACAGGGACACATGCCTCAGAACCAGAACCAGAACACTCAACAGACCTCCGCTCAGGCTGAGGGTCAGACAGCGCCACCCGCAGGAACCCCGGATACCTACGACACAACTACAGAGAAGAACAGGGTCAGAACTAGAGAGGCTGGTTGGTGAAATTCTGGCGATACGATACACATCACGACACAGGTGAGACGATAAACCAGTAGCTACTGCCCCGTGTGCGAAGGCTCCCTAAACGCATCACGCACAGTGGGCGGGGCACCGAGTGGCCAGAGCGGCACCAAGCAGTCCTGCTTATGCAGAAACCAGATGATATCATTCTGGTGTGGCTACTGGACAACACGCACACACACCACTCTGAGGTAACCATCTAACCGGCGTTATTTCACACATGATCCCATCTGGATAACCCTCCGCTCTGGCTGTGAGGTGGGCGGAGCCGTGAGCTTCACCTGAAAGGACGGGCAGGCCCGGTTCTCTCTCCCAGAACCGTGACACCAACGTGACATGCTTTTATTTTGAAAAGCAGCCGATTTAGACGGATTCAGTCTTGGATGTGTCTTGTTTTCACTCATCAGCCACAGATCCTCGCTGGGCTTCCTGCCGCGGTGACTCCCTCACTCGTCGTCTCCTACATGAGGCGGTGATGTTTAACTCACCGTACCCTAACCTGTAACCAGGTAATTGGTACGGAAGCCCGGAAAGGTCAAAATTCCTCCAACATATTTTCTCCCTCTGGCTGATAAGGGTTTATTAAATAGAACAGATTAGATTATTAATCCCACAGTGGGGTTAGGGTTAGGCAGCACACACACTTAGAGAATAATAACAAGATTACAGTAAAACTGATTCCTTCATGTCTTCTTTCATCACTTCAATAACTTCATGATGACCACATGAACATAATCCTGTGTAGTGGATGCAACGACATCATGAAGCTAGCTCAACATGATGGATTACTTTTGCTTGGCTAAACATAACAACTGGTAATATGAATGACCCGGATGACTACATGAATTATAACTAAAAGGTCCTGGGAGACATTTGTGACGTGTAGCTGTAACTCTTTACTGCTGATGGATGGATGATGTGAGTCCTTGTAACCCTCCCCCCACAGTCCGCACCTAGAGCACCACGTACACCAGAAACACCCAACAACGCCCCAAAACACCAAAAAACACCAGAAACGCCCCAAAACACCAGAAACACCCAAAAACACCAGAAACGCCCTAAAACACCAGAAAACACCAGAAACGCCCTAAAACACCAGAAACACCCAAAAACACCAGAAAACATCCCAAAACACCAGAAACACCCCAAAACACCAAAAAACACCAGAAACATCCCAAAAACACCAGAAGACACCCCAAAACACCAGAAAACATCCCAAAACACCAGAACCCCCCCCCCCAAAACACCAGAAACACCTGAACACACCAGAAAACACCCAAAAACACCAGAAATGCCCCAAAACACAAAAAAACACCCCAAAACACCAGAAACACCCAAAAACACCAGAAAACATCCAAAAACACCAGAAAAACCCCAAAAAACCAGAAAACATCCAAAAACACCAGAAAACCCCAAAACACCCCAAAACACCAGAAACACCCAAAAACACTAGAAACACCCCAAAACACCAGTAAAAATCCAAAAACACCCCAAAATACCAGAAAACACCCAAAAACAGCAGAAACACCAAAAAACACCCAAAACACCCAATCTTATGTTTCACAATTACCGTCTCTGCACCTCCCCTCCCCATGTGTTTATCGCAGGTGCGTGTTTTTCACAGGTGCATGTGTGTTTATCACAGGTGCGTGTGTATCACAGGTGTACGAGTGTGTATAGCACAGGTGCGTGTGTGTTTATCACAGGTGCGTGTGTGTATAGCACAGGTGCGTGTGTGATTATCACTGGTGCGTGTGTGTTTATCACAGGTGCGTGTTTTTCACAGGTGCGTGTGTGTTTATCACAGGTGTACGAGTGTGTATAGCACAGGTGCGTGTGTGTTTATCACAGGTGCGTGTGTGTTTATCACAGGTGTACGAGTGTGTATAGCACAGGTGCGTGTGTGTTTATCACAGGTGCGTGTGTTTATCACAGGTGCGTGTTTTTCACAGGTGCGTGTGTGTTTATCACAGGTGTACGAGTGTGTATAGCACAGGTGCGTGTGTTTATCACAGGTGCGTGTGTGTTTATCACAGGTGCGTGTGTGTTTATCACAGGTGTACGAGTGTGTATAGCACAGGTGCGTGTGAGTTTATCACAGGTGCGTGTGTGTTTATCACAGGTGTACGAGTGTGTATAGCACAGGTGCGTGTGTGTTTATCACAGGTGTACGAGTGTGTGTAGCACAGGTGCGTGTGAGTTTATCACAGGCGCGTGTGTGTTTATCACAGGTGTGTGTGTGTTTATCACAGGTGTACGAGTGTATATAGCACAGGTGCGTGTGTGTTTATCACAGGTGCGTGTGTGTTTATCACAGGTGCGTGTGTGTTTATCACAGGTGCGTGTGTGTTTATCACAGGCGCGTGTGTGTTTATCACAGGTGTACGAGTGTGTATAGCACAGGTGCGTGTGTGTTTATCACAGGTGTACGAGTGTGTATAGCACAGGTGCGTGTGAGTTTATCACAGGTGCGTGTGTGTTTATCAAAGGTGTACGAGTGTGTATAGCACAGGTGCGTGTGTGTTTATCACAGGCGCGTGTGTGTTTATCACAGGTGCGTGTGTGTTTATCACAGGTGTACGAGTGTGTATAGCACAGGTGTGTGTGTGTTTATCACAGGTGCGTGTTTTTCACAGGTGCGTGTGTGTTTATCACAGGTGTACGAGTGTGTATAGCACAGGTGCGTGTGTGTTGATCACAGGTGCGTGTGTGTTTATCACAGGTGCGTGTTTTTCACAAGTGCGTGTGTGTTTATCACAGGTGTACGAGTGTGTATAGCACAGGTGCGTGTGAGTTTATCACAGGTGCGTGTGTGTTTATCACAGGTGTACGAGTGTGTATAGCACAAGTGCGTGTGAGTTTATCACAGGTGCGTGTGTGTTTATCACAGGTGTACGAGTGTGTATAGCACAGGTGCGTGTGAGTTTATCACAGGTGCGTGTGTGTTTATCACAGGTGTACGAGTGTGTATAGCACAGGTGCGTGTGAGTTTATCACAGGTGCGTGCGAGTTTATCACAGGTGCGTGTGTGTTTATCACAGGTGTACGAGTGTGTATAGCACAGGTGTGTGTGAGTTTATCACAGGTGCGTGTGAGTTTATCACAGGTGCGTGTGTGTTTATCACAGGTGTACGAGTGTGTATAGCACAGGTGCGTGTGTGTCACAGGTGTACGAGTGTGTATAGCACAGGTGCGTGTGTGTCACAGGTGTACGAGTGTGTTTCTCACAGCTGTGATCTCCTCCTTGGACACCTCAGGTGGGATGCTCCTGATGAACAGAGAGGTGGTGAGGTGTAGTGGGCGGGGCCTGGGCGGAGCCTCCTTGTCCCTCTCTGTCCGGTGCTCTGACACAGGAAGACAGCTGTGAGTCTCTCTCTCTCTCTCTCACATACACACACACACACACACACACACACACACACACACACACACACACACACACACACACACACACACACACACACACACATCCTGCTACTGAAGCTGTAAGTGTTGCAGTACCATCCTCTCCTTCCTCCTCCTCTTCCTCCTTGTCGCCATCAGAGTGGGAGGAGTCAGAGTCAGAGGCGCTGCCTTCTCCGCTATCAGCTGATAAGCTGCGCTTCCTCTTCCTGCCCTGAGAGGAAGAGGTGGAGTCAAAACCAGCTGGAATGAGCTCATCAGCTGATCAGGACCAGCTCACCTTTTTGGCTGTCTCCTCTTCTTCGTTTTCCTCTTTCTTCTCCTCGTCCTCCTCCTGTCTACTGGACCCGGGGTTGTCATCCTGAGACACAGGTCAGGATTAGCAGACAGCTCCTTCAGCAGAACTCAGAACTAATCAGGTTCTGACCTTCTCCAGGTCATCAGTCTGTTCCTCTGGGTTGGTCCCCTCTGTCTCACGCGCTGACGTCTCTGGTCCGGTCTGAGAGACCACACGTCCTTCTCCAGGACCAGTCAGGGTCTTCTCAGCTTCTCCTGCTCCTCCCAGATCTCCACCTTCTGCTGCAGGAGCAGCCTGCGCCTCTAGAACCTGGAGATCCAGGTCGGTTCCTCCTTCCATCTTTATTACAGCTGCAAAGAACAACAGGGTCAGAACCCCTCACGTTCCAGTCCCCTAATCCATCATGACCCGGGCTGGGCATCGAACGTGGACTGGAACCGGGAACAACTGTTCGTTTCTCCCAGAATCGCTGAAAGTTCTAACTTAGATTCCGAGACAGCCGACGGAAGAGGAACCCGCGGCCGATCTCCGTGAAAAATAAACGTGATCTGCAAATTGTGATCGAGGCTTTTCAGATCTGATCACACCAGCTGAGTGTGTGCAGCACGCTGTTAGCTTGTGTGTGTGTGCAGCACGCTGTTAGCTTGTGTGTGTGTGCAGCACGCTGTTAGCTTGTGTGTGTGTGCAGCACGCTGTTAGCTTGTGTGTGTGTGCAGCACGCTGTTAGCGTGTGTGTGTGTGCAGCACGCTGTTAGCGTGTGTGTGTGTGTGTGTGTGCAGCACGAGTCCCCCACACCTGTTAGCTTGTGTGTGTGTGCAGCACGCTGTTAGCGTGTGTGTGTGTGTGTGTGTGCAGCACGCTGTTAGCTTGTGTGTGTGTGCAGCACGCTGTTAGCGTGTGTGTGTGTGTGTGTGTGCAGCACGAGTCCCCCACACCTGTTAGCTTGTGTGTGTGTGTGCAGCACGAGTCCCCCACACCTGTTAGCTTGTCACTGACAGCAGCTACGGTTAGGTTTCTGACTGAAGCTGCTGCAGCATGGAGGTGTAGCTCTCAGTCATCCTGGACATGACCATCCTGAGTTGGAGCTGAAAACAGCTGGACGCTTCTGGATATGTTGGAGACGTTTATGTTTGTGTCTGAATGAAGGTGATGTTGTTGTTCATAGAGTTAAAACTCATGTTGAAGTTAAGATTAGTTCCTCCAGTAGGACCTGTGGTCAGCTGGCTCATGTAAACATGTCATGTCTTCAAAGAATCTGAATCGTTCAAAATCAAACGATGCCCAACCCTACCCTGTACCCCCCCCCCACACACACACACACACACCTGCATCCAGCAGCTTGACGATGGCGGGGCCGTGGTCCATGTCCAACAACACGTCGTCCAGCCAGTTGTTGTCGAGCAGGAAGAGGAAGACAGCCAGTCGGGTTTCAAGGGCGGCCTGGGACTCCGCCCTCTTGGCGGTGATGTCATCGGGGTGGTACTTGGATCTGAACCACTCCTGCTCTTTGTGTTGGATGAAGAAGTCCTGCAGCTGCTGCCGTCTGAAGTCCAGTTTGTACTGGTTGTAACGCTTGACCGCCTCCGTCTCGTCCACGCTGTCCTCCATGTTCAGCAGGAACTCCTGTGGACACACACACTTCAACAGGACATCCTGAGGACATCTCTCTGGGTGCTCAGACATTTGCTGACCTTGAAGCTCCTCATGGTGGGAGGACCAGGAGGGGGGAGATCTGGATCCATCATCCCTAATCTGAGACACAAGAAGAAGAATCTGAAGCAAGTTGCTCCTCACATCTCAGCTCACAGAACTCTGGAGGAACCCACCTCCCCTGGAGTGGGTGGGCCGTGTGGTGTGGGTGATGGTGGGGGAAGTCCACATGCCAGCCCTGAGGCCCCACCCCTGGGAACGGAGCCCCGCCCCCATAAGGCAGGTCGAAGCGGTAGGGTTCTCCCCGGTGGTCGTCCCTGGAGAGATGAAGGCAGTGGAAGCAGATCAGGATGAAGATGAGAGCAGAAGACCAACAGAGGCTCACCAGTCTCTCCTCAGGCGCTTGTGCTGGGGGCTGATGTGTCTGGGAGGAGAGAACCGCTCTCTACGACCTCGATCGTAGTCCCGCCTCCTGTCCCTACCCCGCTCCCAGTCCCTGAAACACACACAGGTACGTCACCCCAGTAGAACCACAGACCCGGACTCCACAGCTGTCCACGAGGACACTCAGCTGAGACTACCTGTCCGACCAGTCGTCCCTCCTCCTGTCCTCCCGCTCCCTGGACCTCTCCATGTCGCTCCTCTCCCTCCTGAACTTGTCTCGCCTCCTCCTGTCAAACTCGTCATCGCTGTCTGCCATTTCCCTGGAAACCAGCCCGGTCACACTTTCAGGTCACGGGTCAGAACCAGAACACACCCAGTCCCAACACGTCTTAGTGTGTTATAATCCGGCTGAAGGGTTAAAACAGCGGACACAACAAGATCTCTACAACCTGCGTTAGCCTTTCATTAGCTCCGGGAGCTAACGAGCTAGCATTTGCCAACTGTCCCATAAACACCTCGCGCTTAGTCTCCGTCCCGGTGGTTCTCACAGAGGAACAAACACAACTTTCATGTTTTTAACATTTTTACCTGAAACGGACCCGACTCGACTCTCAGAAATAAGTTACGAACTGCTAGCTAGCCGCCGACAGCCTGAAAGAGCTACAACACTTCCGGTCACGCTTCCGGTCCTTTTACAGGGTGAGCGCCTCCAGCGGTGAGACGAGGGATCGCACCTGACCGACCGTGGGTCCTGGTTCTGGTTCTGGGGCGGTAGTGGTACCACCATAATCTGGGTCAAAAGTTCTACAATAACGTAAAACATAATTCTGGATACTTTTAATGTCTCCGTTTTTAAACTTTGTCTTTTCTGACACAAAAGTTTTAATCGCTTCTACTATCTATACTATATTATATACTACTATGTTATGTACTAATATATTATATAGTACTATATTACATACTACTATGTTATATACTAATATATTATATAGTACTATATTATATACTACTATGTTATATACTAATATATTATATAGTACTATATTATATACTACTATGTTATATACTAATATATTATATAGTACTATATTATATACTACTATGTTATATACTAATATATTATATAGTACTATATTACATACTACTATGTTATATACTAATATATTATATAGTACTATATTATATACTACTATGTTTTATACTAATATATTATATAGTACTGTATTATATACTACTATGTTATATACTAAAATATTATATAGTACTGTATTATATACTATTACTATATCATATACTACTACTATATTAGATAATACTATATTATATACTACTGTGTTATATACTAATTTGTATTATATTACTATATTATATACTACTATACTATATACTACTATATTATATACCACTATATTATATACTACTGTGTTATATAGTACTTCTATTTTATATACTACTATGTTATATACTACTATATTATATACTACTGTATTATATAGTACTTCTATATTATATACTAATATATTACTAATTTATTATATACTAATATATTATATTACCTTGCTTTTGATGCTGATTTTATAATTGGGCTGCACGGTGGCGCAGTTGTTAGCACAGTTGCCTCACAGCACGAAGGTTGCAGGTTCGAAACTCGGCTGTGGCCTTTCTTCGTGGAGTTGCGTGTTCTCCCCATGCATGTGTGGGTTTCCTCCGGGTACTCCGGTTTCCCCCACATATCACAACATGTCCTATAGGTTATAAATTGTAAGTCGCTTTGGATAAAAGCGTCTGCTAAATAAATAAACATAAACATATAATTGCAGTTCACTGTTTTGTGCTGTTAACTGTCCTTGTTTTAAAATGTGCTATATAAATAAACTTGGTATGGTGTAGTTAGTATATAGTTGTTTAGAGTAATTCTTAAGTATATGAAATATACACAGATAGTATTTCATGGTTGTTAAAACATATAATCTTTAGTTTTCTGTCACTACTTGGTAATACAGAGAAACTGAAATTGCAGTAACCAAATATGACCACAGGATGGCACTGTTACTCCATTCTTATATAATTGAATTGAAACAGTCTGATTTAATCTTTTAGGATTCCAAATAAACTAACGATGATTTTATTTCAGCGGGGTTAGGGTTAGACGTGAGACCGCTCCCAGTCTCTAGGTAGAAGGTTCTATCCAGTCCTCTCTAATGCTGTTACAGCCTAACTAAGTCCTCCAGTCACGTTAACCTGATCCCATTCAGAGACGACAGAAGTGACCTGGTAAAGATTTGGGTGATATTAAAATGGTTCAGTTGGGTGGGTTACCTTACCTCAGTCACTTGTTTCAGATCCTGATGTCAACAAGTTTCCTCTCACATCACCAGAGATCCACAAACAGATTATCCAGTTTCGGAAATGAATTAAAACACATAATAATAATAATAATAATAATAATAATATAATATAATAATAACAAGAATAATATAATAACAATAATAAAATTAAGTAATAATCATATAATAATAATAATAATAATCATATAATAAAGATGATAATAATCATATAATAATAATAATAATATAACAATAACGATAATAATAATAATAATAACAATATGATAATAATAATACTACATTATTATTATTATTATTATTATTATTATTAATATAATACTAGTAAAATTAAGTAATCATAATAATATAATAATAATAACAATAATAATATGATAACAATAATAAAATTAAGTAATAATATAATAATCATCATAATCATCAATAATAACAATGATAATTGTCATATAATAATATAATAATAATAATAATATAATCAAATTAAGTAATAATAATAATATAACAAAAACGATAATAATAATAATAATATGATAATAATAATAATACATTATTATTATTATTATTAATATAATACTAGTAAAATTAAGTAATAATAATAATATAATAATAATAATAAAATTAAGCAATAATAATATAATATAATATAATAATAATGATAATAATAATGATAATAATAATAATAATATGATGATAATAATAATGCATTATTATTATTATTATTATTATTATTATTATTATTATTATTATTATTATTATTATTAATAATAATATAATACTAGTAAAATTAAGTAATAATAATAATATAATAATAATAATAAAATGAAGTAATAACAATAATATAATAATAATGATAATAATAATAATAAAATGAAGTAATAATAATATAATATAATATACTAATAATAATAATGATAATAATAAAATGAAGTAATAATAATAATAATGATAATAATAATAATAAAATGAAGTAATAATAATAATTATATAATGATAATAATAAAATGAAGTAATAATAATAATATAACGATAATAATAGACATGTGTGTCCCGCTACATCCAGACAGACGAACAGCTCTGATAAAGGTGCTGGCGCTCGAACACATCTGATGATTCTTGGTGGTATCACTACTCACTGGCCCTCCAAAGGAA